TTTCACTATCGTGAATAGTTCTCTGGAACCTTCAAAGAATGGGTAATACCTTCTTACTTTCTTATGTTGGAGGATCCACCTTTTGGTAGCAACCACAAAGACAATAAGCAGATATTACACACTCAAATCTAGTCTGATACCAATTGTTGCGGAAGACGGCTATCAAATAGAGCAAAATCACAACTGATAATTTGAGAAAATAAAAATGAAGATAAAATAGACACAAAATTTACGTGAAAAACCCCTAAATAATATAGGGTAAAAACCACGGGTAAGAGTAGAAGAATTTCACTATGAGAAAATAGGAATTACAACTTCTCTCAATCTACCAAGGAGAAAACAATGATAATTCTCTCTTGATAAAAAGGTGAAAACAACTCTCAAGAAACTCTCTAAATTCTCTCTAGTATTGAAAGAAAGCTAGAATACTTTGGGATGATTTTGAAACTAAATGAGCTAGGATATTTATAGTTGAAACTTAAGGACTAATTTGTAAATACCCTAAATTACAATAACTAATATTGAGTTTTACCATTGTTGAAATTTCCACAAATGCTGCACCTTTTTGACCATGCATCATTCGGTGCATTTTTTTTTCAACTTTCAACTTGCACCTTTCGGTGTATTGAAAATCCAATTTTCGACATTAAGGACCATTGGTAATATTATCCCAATAGAAAATTTACTGCTGTAGAGTAGACCATTAGGATGGCAGGTCGGCAAGGGGAGGACTGTGCTAAAAGGCTATCTCACCGTACCTATTGAATGGGAAATGGCCACGACTTGGAAAACCAAAAATTTTGCATATTAAAGATGAAAAGAGCGAATCTCTGGGGAGTCTTAATGATTGGGTGGCCGTCTAATTAATACAATACAATTAAAGGTTTGTGTCAATCAATATGAATAGTTAGACTGGGACAAAAAAGAAAAAATATATGGTCGGAAAACGGAAGGGAAGCGACGGGGGTTCCCAACAAACGACATGACCCACCATCGACCGCCACTAGAGAATATTTCCTTTTTTGTTTCCACACTAATCGTCCAAGTCGATTGCTAGGCAATAATGGAGGCCAAAACACTGTTCAATTTTCTAACTCATCTGTTTAATTCATTACGCGGATATTTGCATTTGTTGGTCCCTCAAGGTAGAAGGTACCAAGGGACGACCCAACTGCTGCACTGATGCTTTCTGCACCTGAGAATGAATCACATGCTTTTTTTAATTTGAATTTTGGACAATATCACACACATAATATCCCCAGTTGATAGAAAAGGAAAGGCGGTGTGGTATGTATTGACACAAGAAAAGTGACTAGCATTGCAGGTAAGGTTCCACAAGCACAGATGATCATCATTCACAGCCTCATCCTCCTTATCCTCTCCACTCTCCCATTCCTGTCATCCATGTGACACTCATGATTACATGAGCACAACAAAATAAATGATCTTGGAGACCAAGATTTAAATTAAGGTTATAATCGTGTTTTAATTATGTTGTATTTATTGTGATTGCGAAAAAAATAGATGTTATTACAGTTATTATGTATTAAAGTCGTACAATAATAATTTTAGACGATATTATTATCATAATATAACTGCCGTTATTCTAGCAGCGACCATATAGAATCATCTATGCATAATATTCCACGTTACTTGTTATGTTAAAACCTTCCTGCAACGGTAATAAAAACCTATTACTTTCACACACATTAAACGCATGTTTTGTTTAGCTTCATATATTAAAGCTCTTCTCGACGCACCTGAAATGAAACTCGAGTGATGCATGTACTCGGAAATATTGGACATTTTTTCTCTCTGTAAAATTAGTTGATTTATGGGGTTAAAAATTTATTTTTTAAAAAGAGTATTTATTATAGTATCGATGATAGAAAAATGTACGAATTACTTAATGTCCTCTGAAAGATGTTTCAAAAATTTTCCAATGATAAACCAAACTTTTTTCTAGTACATTATCCAAATATTTTTCCCTCAAAATTCGTAACTGCAAATAATAATAATAATGCATATAAAAAGAAATACACCCAAAGACATTTCCTGTTGAAAATTAACAGGATCTACACAGAGAGCTGATTAGTTTGATTGATTTGTGGCAATAAAAAAAGGGTAAAATCAAGAGTCGATAGCTAACCAGTGGGAATACTGGATATTATATCAATGTTGTCATTCAACCTTGTATTTATTGATAACTCATCATCTTTATAATAGTTTAAACGGAGACAAGTGTTCGAATTTGATGGAGGAATAGTTTAGCCGACATGGAAATGGTAATAAAACATTGCATGAGACGCTTGTAGCTGTCCACTTATTCCAATGGGCTCCTGGTTTCATCGGCATTTACTATTTGTTTTCAGATATTGGTATATGCTAACATCCTAATATCTCATCAGATTTATTTCATAAATTGAAATAACCATAAAATCATATTTTTAATTATATTTAATGTAAAAATAAGTGTTTAAATTATATAGGATTTTGTTATATAATGTTAAACTCTTTTAGTTACACACGAATGTAGTACCGTTGGATAAGTGAAAATAGATGGTTGAGAATAATAATAGGATATGAGAATATATTTACTGGAAAAAAATAAGGAGTCAATCTCAACCATCTATTCTCACTCATCCAACGGTTGTAAAACTAAAAAGTTTTACATTGTGTAAGTGGATCTTAACCCTTTAAAGAATTTTTCGTTTAAAATAAGAGTCTAACATTTTTCATTACACTTTTAAGTACATACACCATGACAACCATTAAAAAAAATATTGTTAACTGACATGTACAATGTTTATGTTTTTTTTTTAATTTTTACTTTTTAAATTAAAAGTATTATTAGAAAAAAAAAACATTTTTTAGAAAATAAAAATTCCCTTCCCCTTGCATCGTCCCCTAGCACAGACCCCCACCCCCATCATCCCCGCTGAAAGCTCCCAAAAAATGGGATGCAATTTCATCATAACATTTGCATCAAACATATCACACCTTTAAGTTATAAACTAAGGGTTTTATAACATGGGAAATAGGGTTTATTATTAGGGATTTTGATATTTGAGATTTTAGGGATCAAGTGATGGTAAGAACAATGATAGATCACTGAATGGATGGCGACGTATGAGTGATCGTATGACGATGATGACCAGTGACTATTGAAAATGAGAATTGATATTAGACATTTTAAGATTTTGGGATTTGTTTGTAATTTTATAGAAATTTGGATATTTTTTAAAAATATTAGGGTAGAATATGCATTTAGTACCTAAACTATCAGTTTTAATCCGGTTTAGTACTTAAACTTTTAATTTTTTAAAAACCATACCTAAAGTTTAGTTTTTGTTTCAATTTAGTACTCGCCCGTTAAGTTTTGAAAAAAAATGAAAGTCTAGGTATCAAAACACGTTTAGTATTTAAATCATACTTAAGTTTTGAAAATTTAGGTACTAAAACGGATCAAAACTGATAATTTAAGTACTAAACACATTAAGTTTTTAACGAAAATATATTAAAATGAAACAAAAAGTAAACTTTAGGTATGATTTTGAAAAAAATTAAAAGTTTAGGTACAAAAACATATAAAAGCTGATAATTTAGGTACTAAATGCATAAATTACCCAAAATAACAATAATTTTATTTAAAAAAATCAAAAAATATAATAGTGACATATGTCGATTAACGATTTTTTAAGGGACATAAACATTTAAAATTATAACATAGAAAACGTTAGACATCTACTTTAACAGATTTTTTCTTCTTCTTTTGAATCCTAAAGAGAGTTAAAGGAACTAATGTCCTACAGTTGATAAATGCAAGGAATCCATTGCTAACGGTGGAATTATCGCTGCTTGTGGGGAAGGTAAGTAGATGGTTTCCAGCCAGCTAGGATCAACACTTGTGGCGAGCATGTCAGCTGGCTTGTTGCAGTTACGTGAAATCCAAATAATATCCGTAGCCCATCTGTACTGTCTGAGATTGTCAATAGCCCTGACTATAGAGAGTGGACTAACACTCGCGGTCGAAGCATTCAAGAGATTGACTGCCTCTGCACAATCGAATTGAACCTGCACAAATTCAAACCCCTGTTCCCAAGCGTATTGAAGCCCAATGAGAACCGCCTAGAGTTCAGCTTGGAGAGCTTGCACAATCCCAATAGCCTTCTGAAAACTGGAGAGCCAAGATCCTGATTGATCACGTAGGAGACCAGCAACAGAGCCAAAACCAATGTCGACGATACAGCGCATCAACATTCAAGCATAACCACCCTAGTTCCGGACCATGCCAATGAGCAGCTGGATGCAGGGCAGATAAAGAGGTGGATGGGGTGGAGCAATCAGAATAATATCGAGCCCAAGTGAACCCTCTGTTCAGGATACCTATTGAAGAAGGTGCAACAGCATTGAAGACATAGTCATTCCGAGCTTTCCAAAGCTGCCAAAGAGTTGAAACAAATAAAATAGGCCATGGAAGGTTCCATTCAGAAACAATAGCATGAGAACTTATGCACTCTTGAGTCAAATCCTCCAAATTCAGAAGAAAAAAAGAAGAGAGGGCTGGAGTTAGCATTTTGAGCCAAACAGTGTGCTTCCTTGCAATTCCGTAATATATGAAGGGCGGATTCTTCGGTATAAGCACATATTTAATTTTGAAAAAAAGAAAAATTTAATTATTAAAACGAAATAAAAGTGATAATTTGTGTATTAAATAATATACTCATATTAAAAAACTCAAGGATATCTATAATTAATCTAATTATAGTTAAAATTAAATTCTTAAAATGGATTAATAGTAGAGTGGTCTTTGAGTTTTTCAATATTTATTTAATAAAAATAACTTAATTGATGATATGTTTCGGTATGTCTTAGTAGTATCTATGATTTCAATGTAATACTGGGTTGGGATAAGCAATTTGACGGTTTAGAGAGAGAGGGAGAGAGTGTAATAAAATTTGACGGTTTAGAGATAGATGTGTAAATAAAAAGACATGCAATGGAACTTTGTCTCCAAAGTCCAAAATGAGAGAAAAAGGAAAGGAACCCCCATATTAACGTTTTCATCGAACCCAAACAACGACCAATCTTCTCTGTCTCCATTCTCTTTCCTGCCCTACAAACCGCTTATTATTTGACAATTTTCTCTCTTCGATCAGCCTCTCCACATGGATCCAGACCCCCCTCTTCACGAGACCTACAAGCCCCTCTTCGACAACACCAAAATCTCTTCAAACAACCGCCGCCGCCTTGTCACGGTGGAGGAACGCGACCTTCCATCGATTGATCTCAGCCGTTTAAGCCAGAACGAGCTGGAGAAAGAAAAGTGCAAGGAAGAGATGGCTAGGGCAGCACATGAATGGGGCTTTTTTCAAGTCATAAACCATGGGATCTCCATGGAGTTATTGGAGAAGTTGAGAGAGGAGCAAGTGAGAGTGTTCAAACAACCTTTCCAAAACAAGTGCAGAGAAGACAAGTTCCTTAATTTCTCCGCTGGCAGTTACCGTTGGGGCACTCCAACTGCTACTTCGATAGGGCAGTTATCATGGTCTGAAGCTTTCCACATCCCCATGACCGATATCTCAAGGTAGGTTTTTTAATTGTTCTATGAAATATTTTCCCTTCTCCCCCTTTTTTTTAATGATCTCTCTTTCTCTCCATCTCCTTACCTCTCTTCTTTTCGGCAAATTCGGTATAACGAATACTACTAACCAGGAATCAGTTGTTCGTATTCTACCCTTTTCTAAGCTACGACGGTTAAGCCTTTTGTTTTTTCTGTTACTATCATTTGTGTAGTGTATAACTGCTGATATTTCATGTCGGCATGTAATTTAAGCTTAGCTACTACACACAAATATTATAGTTTTTTCTTCTTGGAAAGAAACCAACTATTATAACGACGAGACAAGACAACATGGCTCAAATCCATGCTCTTTTTCTGGTCCCAATTCCCGTAATATCAACAAAATCTATTTAAACATAATTGTGTCTAAGCTTAAGGTTGTATTAAACCTAAGAAATGTTTTTCTCTACATTTTTGAACAAATAAGGAGTATACAAACGAGAAGCTATATACAGTTATGAGAATCGCTAATTAATATATATGGTTTGTTTTCAATTGTAAAATGATCTCTTAATAAAACTCTAGCTTAAAGATTGATTAGCAGAGCTTATAGGTGTGGAGACTACTGTGCTGTTAATCATGGCATGGGAGCAGATGTGATGAATTAAATCTTTGATGTTTGTGTAAGATTACCATGTGATTAGATGTGGTAAGTTTTTATTATTTTACAGTTTCACCAACAAAATGGATTAATAGAACATAAGATTTGAATATGTTAATACTTTAATCTTATTTGAGTAGAAAAAAAATATAAATATATTATTTAAAAGTTAGAAGGTTGGCTAGAATCAATATTTCAGTGAAGGACAGCATTATTCAGTTTAAAAAAAGATTCATATATTATAAAACAATTTAAAAGAATTATTAATAGAGTTTAAGTAGTTTTTAGACGGCTTTAATATTAATAGAGGCATAAAAGCTTAATATTTAAGATTATAATGAAAAAATATCATTTTTTAAAAAAGTCGTAGAACATATTATCATTTTAGTGATGAATTAATAATAGAAATATGATCTATTTGTACAATATAAAATTAATCAATTTTACAATAATTTATAATAATTGAATTAATAGAGATCCATGGTTGAAATTATATTTAATATTTTTTCATTCCGTGATCATATCTATATTTTTACCCTCTATTTTGTCAAGCCATAAATATAATCTCAATCATTGATTCTTATCAATTTTCAAGAAGATAAATTTTGATTAAAAATAATATTTTGTCAAAATATTATGTAAATTAAACATTCACTATAAGCTCTTTCACAGGGTTTATTTTTCCCTTGAATAAATTGGCAGGAATTTGAAGTTATAAAAGAAACTTAAGAATCTAAAAAAAATTATTCTTATAAACTCTAAATTTTCGTGAATTTAGAATTAAGAGTGATTCCAAAAAATTTGGTTATTCTCCAAATTTTTTTTTTCATATTTGATTTTTATTAAAAATATTAAAAATAAAAGAAAATCAAAAGTCCTATGATTTGATTAATAATAAAATATGTAATACTAAAATGAAAAACCTAGGAAAAGACTAAATATATATATATATATATATGTTTCATATGATATTTCATTAGTATCTTATCAATGTTTTGTCATATTAGATTTTAGCATCTAGGAAAATTTAACCTTTTTTTAAATGTCAAAAAGTCTGTTGATAAATTTTTAAAATCTTGAAGGGTGAATAATCTTAGAGCCGGTAGTTAAAAGCTTTAAGTTGTTACGTACCTCATATCTCTTTTAAGCTGTGAGTTCAATATTTATTAGGAGTAAAATTTTCTTACCTCCTTTCCTAGGTAGGGATTGTTCAAAAAGAAAATCTTGAAGCCCTCCTTTAGTTATGTTATTGTATATCTTATAGATAAGAAGATATCTTACCCTCCCAAACACAGTAAAATTTAGAATTTTCAAAGTTAGTAAAACAATATAAATTTCCTCAATGTTATCCATATAGTTTTCTATTTTGAAAAAAATATATATATAGATACAAGAGTTTCACCTAAAATTTATCAGTATGTATCAGCCTAGGACGTAGTTACACATGTTATAGTGCATATCAATTGAAGATCGAAAGAGAGACATTTCTTTTGTATCCATCTTTATTTGATTTGATAACTTTCCTTTTCATGTCCTAATAATTTACAAACAAGAGGTTGATATTAAACGCCCTATAGTCACCAAATTTGGAAAACTGAATGTTTCATTTCATCACAAGTGGTAAAAGGGTAAGACACACTGCCTTCTGAATTGCCTAGGTTGTGTATTTGGTTATCAAAGAAGCCCTAGATGACTCCGGTTCGAATCCGTGCTAAGAAAGAAAACTCTTATCTTTTTTTTTTCCATGGCCATAGTCGGTGGTCCTGCTTCAGACTGAGTTATTATCACATGTATCCATAGTCAAATGTGTGAGGTGTCACCCTCTTTGTGGAATTAGCTTCTGCAACGTCTCAGTAGCTTTTTTCTCAGATTTTAGCGACACAATCAATGTTGGCTTTAATTTCTCGTGGTCAAGTTGGTGCTAAGTGTTTGTAATCGGCTTACACCACAGATACATTGCACCCTGTCAAAAACAAAGGGTATGAAAAATCAGCATCATGGTGGGTTTCCTTGCCATGCATGTTCTCTTTTTTATTCATGGCGACTTACCTTCCAGACGTGAAGGTCACGACTTTATTTAGACGTTCAGTCTGACAAGCTTGATGTGGCCTCAACAATGGTCCTCGTTTTCTTGATGATCAATGCGTATATCGCAGCTACCTTCAGGAAAAAAATAATTATAACGCTGCTACTCCCTACCGTACGATTGGACCCACCTCCTCATAGTTGGGAGATCCTTTTTTCAATTTTCATTTCTTCAAACTATATATATATATATATATATATGTTAACCATCTCGTTGTGTTAACCAGCTCATCAATGGAGCCGTTTGCAACAAAAGTTGCTAGTGTTGCTCAGAAACTAGCTGAAATTTTGGCAGAGAAGTTAGGTCATAAATCGACTTTTTTCCAGGAAAGTTGTTTGCCAAGCACTTGCTATCTCCGACTGAACAGATACCCACCTTGTCCCATTCCTTTAGACATTTATGGTATAACGCCACACACCGACAGCGACTTCATCACTATATTGCGTCAAGATCAGGTTGGAGGTTTGCAATTAGTGAAAGATGGGAAATGGATTTCTGTTAAACCCAATCCCGATGCTTTAATCATCAACATTGGAGATTTATTTCAGGTTAGTATAAAACTTGTTAATGGTTTCCACAATTTAACCCTATGTTAAAGAGCTGCTGAATTGGATGCTTATTGATTGATATTTGTGCAGGCTTGGAGCAATGATTTTTATACAAGTGTTGAACATTGTGTGGTCACGCATCCAACAAAAGAAAGGTTTTCGGCTGCATATTTCCTGTGCCCATCTAATGAGACGGTGATAGAGAGTTGCAGTAACCCCTCGGTTTACACCAAGTTTAGCTTTAGGGAATATATGCAGAAAGTCCAGGATGATGTTCAACTATATGGTTATAAAGTAGGGCTCCCCAGGTTTCTTCCATAACGATTGTCACCAACTCAAAAATGTCAATTGCAATTTGCATCTTCTACTATATACACTAAGGTCATTGTTGTACAAATCTTAACGTTCTCTTTACTTTAAGAAGCATAAGTATAATTAACTCTATAAATAAGTTAAGCTGAGTTTGAGTATTATTAAGTTCGATTCGATTCAAAAAAGTTTAAAATTGAGCTCGACTCAACTTAAAAGCTCGCAAGTTTAAAATTGACAAACTCGATTTCGAAATCAAAAATTAGAACTCGACTCTAGATTAAAAAAAATTAAACTCAACATTCTCAGGCTTAACTTGAGAAGCTTAAACTCGAGCTCGAACTTGAACTTTAAGTACATAAAAATATTATATTTTTTATTAAAAAACATATAAATGTTAATATTATTAATATTTTAATTTAAAAAAATTAAAAATTAATATTTAATTGTTTGCAAGTTTTTTGAGTCAGGTATCAAATAGCTCACTTCGATACTTTAAGCTTGACTGAATCGAACTCGAGAACACACATGAATGCCGTTTGAGATGAAGAGAGTAGATTTTGCGGTCTGAGAACACGTACGAACGCGGTTGAGCTCCCTCCTTCTGTGTCTAATATTTAAAATCTAATTTAGAAAATCCAGACCAGTTTCCAGGTCCATATCTTTCAACAAGCCCTTGCAGGCACATTAGACTCCAAAGAAGATGAATTAGATGATGTTGTAGAAGATGAGCATACATTCATTGCTTCCATCTTTAGTCACTTGCGTACCAGAAGATTAATGAAGAAGCCAAGGCGAAATGGGTTGTTTATATCTGGAGAAGGAAAGGTCCATGAACATAGTAGGCGCCTAGCATTTGGTGGGGGTCCGAGTATTAGATACTTGAAGCCATAATAACAGTGTAAGGCTTGAAAATGTCTCAGTTAGGGCTTAGGACTAAAGTCCCATTTATTTTTTGAATTTTCAAATAATTCATAATTGAAATTTATCTGATTTGTATCCTATTTGATTATACGATTTTTTTTAATATCTGATATGAATTATTCAAAAATTTATAAAATGATAGAATATCTAAATTTTCGAATCAGATCATCGAATCAGATCTTTTTACACCCCTAACAACAACCTTTGAAAGAGGCGGTGTTTGGGAGGTAAGGCTGAGAGACCCTGTATGTTTAGGGTGTTTAAAATATCTGATCCAAATTATATGGCCAGTTGATTAAATTAAAAAATACGTGATATTTATAATAAAAATACATGATTTTACAAGTTGGGTACTCAACCCATTGTTTTTCTTGAGTTTCAGGATCAAATTCAGATCACAAAATATCCTTTAATCGGATATTCGTCAACCCAGAGTTCGATCTCTTATATTTTTTATTTTTATTTTTTTATATTAAAAAATTATTTATAATTCATAAATTATTTCATTATAACATTCTAAATTCCTAATTTATTAAATTATTTCATCATAATATTTTAAATTACTACTTTTTAAAATTATTTCACCCATATCTAAATTATTTTTTTAATTTTAAAATATTGTAAAAGGTATTGAATGATAAAGAGAAATAACTACTAATCTGATGGCACTCAATACACCGGTACCATGAGCTTCTCCCTGGACAGTATCATTAATTTCATCGGGTGGACAGTGAAAAGTGAGTCCCAAACGGTCAATTCCATGCCAACCGAGCCGTACCGTTCGCTATCGCATTACATTCACGAGGGGCAAACCGAAAACGCAATCTCCAATCAGTCAAAATATTTTAAATTTAATTATAGTTCTTCAATTTTATTTGTTAATAAGTTTTATTTTTAAAATCATATAATTTAAATTTTAAAATTTTACATTGTAATTATGTATTATAAACTTTCAAATTTTTTATTTTTTTACACAATATTTTTTAAAATAATAAAATTTAAGAAAATAGAAAAAAATTGAACCAAATACCCGGAACCAAAAACATAGATACCCAGATTTTACGGATACCCAACTTATGAGTGCCCGAACATCACAGAAATATAGATACCTAGATTTTAAGATAACCAACTTATGATTACCCCAAAAATTCAACAGACTGGAACACAGACATTTTGATACTCAGAAATCCCGATTACCCGAAATTTCGGATGCCTGAAAATACGAGTACCCAATGTTGAACATCCCTACTGTCTGTGGTGGCCGCCAGTTGGGTGTTGGACGCATTTCTCTTATGTGCCTTTGGATGTGCTGGTGTTTTCAGGTTTGCGGGTGGCATTTGGTTTTTACTCTTTATTTTTCATAGGACCCTCTCCCTCACTCTGCTTTCCTGGGATTTGTTTGAGCTAAATTTACTTATTTGCTTAGAGAAAAGAGAGATGAATTCTACGGTCATGACAAAATGAATCCTACAACAAATTTCTTATTTGTGGGTGGTATTTGTTTGAGCTAAAGCACGTTAAGAACAAGTTGATCGTGACAAAATGACTTCAACAACAAAAACAAAAATAATACAAAAGACCTCATATAAGTTTGACCTGATCAACGGCATTGTCTACGGTCATGGCCGCTCAGCATTATCAGGGACTGGACTAGTGTTTACAAGCTCCACTTTGGCCGCCTCATCTGCCCTCCCATTATTATCATCAACATCCAAAACATCATCCATCATATCATCCTCCCCAACATTGATATCTTCCACATCTTTCCTCATCTTCATTGTTGTTTCCACCAGGTATCTTTCTCTTCTTTGGACCATGCTCCAGTCTGTGGCTATCCAATTCTTTGTCCATAGTTTCTTGTAGGTTCATGTCATTGTTTGCTTTCCTAGCTTTCCGGGCATTTTGCCACCTCTCCAACTCCTTTTCTACGTTTCCAACATACTCTTCTCCTATTTGTTTCTGATATTTAGATAATTCTTCCCTCCTAGCTGCCTTCCATTCTAGAAACTCCTGTTATGCAAATGCAAATATATACATATCATGAACATTAACATCACATATTAATAAAATATAGCTAGATAGCACAAGAAAAAAAATGACACCCCTAGCTTTTGAAGGGAAAAAAAAATTAGCAAAGAAAGTTTTTCTTTATATGCTATAACTTTTCTCAGTATGCCAAAACAAATAGGGGAGAGAACCTACTTGTTCTTTTTGTTGCTCATGTATAGCCGCATCTTCATACAATGGTTTAGTTGGCAAATAATATATTGGAGGCTCGGTTTTGGTCCTGAAACATATTCCAAAAGCAATCAAAATTAGCCCAAATTTATCAAAGAACTATTGCAATCTACCTAAATCCCAGAAAGCAGGAATTTGTCTTCGGATGCTTCAAAACAAATATGCACTTGATCAGAAACTTATCTGTCTCAATAAAATTGTGAATATGGATAGTACTGGATCAAAGTTAAAATTAACCTGCAACAGATGGGTGTGCAGAACGGGTGTTAATGCTAGAGTCATTCATTGCCAAAGCAATATTAAAGCAGAAAAGATTTTATGCCCCAAAGGCGCTGACACCATATAATAATAAAATTGATAATACATAAATACCTTATATAATTGTTAAGCTTTTTGTGGTGCTCACTCCACTGAAGAAACAACAACTCCATCTTCTTTTCTTCAGCCTTCGCAGCCACCCGAGCCCTGAGAGTCTGAAAGCAGAAGCAGAAAGCAATAAGAACCATTTACTTCCTTCTACATTGAACACTAACAGCAATAATGGTCAATGACAACCAGATCTCTCCTCCTCTTTTCTGCAATCTGTTCACGCTCTTGTTGCCTCAGCTTCTCACTTTCTTCACGAGCTCTTTGCTCGGCCTACAAAGAAATCCAAACATGTAGTGACCAGCAAATCCCCAAACTGTTCAATGATTATTTATTTGTACTTGAGACACAAAAAATTAGGAGTCTCATGGAAACAATGTCACCCAATGGTTTTTCCAGCCAATTGATAATCATTTTGAATTCCCTAAGAATCACTGAGCTAATCATAAGAAACCAGAAATCACAGTATGGAAAAACCAAAGCTTACTCTTTGCAAAGAATTTGATCGTCTCATATATGCCTCTGTCTCCGAAATTTGCTTATCTTCTCTCCTGAATCTCTGCAAAAATGCAAACTAAAAGAAGATATTATCATGAATCTACAAAAACCAGCACATAGAAACGGGTAATAATAGAGTTAAGTACAAAGATGGGTTTCCAAGTTCCAGTTCAAAAATCTATTGATATAAAACCACCCAAAAGCGGAGATGGGAGGCTGAAATTGATTATCTACGAAAAAGAGACCTATATTGCAACCGTTGTGCAACTTTGCAGCTCACAGCTTCTTGTTAAGCCATTTCTTTAGATCTTTGCTTTACTTAATAAAGTTTAGGCAGTCTGATTTCAATCCAGAGAAGGAATTTCAATAATTACCAATTCCCTAAGACAACAATCACAATAAAAATACCTCCAAAGTCCCTAAAAGTTGCCCCAACATCCTTCTATTCCTATTAATCAAGCCTGGGTCCTCATCCTTGGGCAGAATCCTTGGAACATGATCTGCAATTGGAACTTCAGCATCCTAACAAAAAAAGACAACAAAAAATATCATGCATTCATGGACCTAAATAATGTCACGGTTCAATAAAATTTAAATTTAGAATGCGGAAAAACCTTCTTCAGTCTTTGGTTTCCATCCCTTCTAGACCAACCATCTTGCTGCAGAGTTGAATGTTTTTATCACTCTCATCAACTGGACCAGATCGTTCAACAGCCATGTCACTGATATCCTTTTCCACTTCATCATCAACAATCTCTCCATCTTCCACCTTCAGTCCGAAATTAAGAAAATCGTAATAGAATGTTTCAGGCGCCATAGAAAAACAGTATAAAGGAAGTGCAAAGAAAATCTACGTAAATCCAGTCTTACTCAATCCAGCAAGAAAAGGTTTACCTTTACAACAGCTGATGACAATCGCTTCTTAGCCGGAGGTTGATCTTCTACATCTGTCCCATCTGACTACAAGCATTAGGAAAAGAAAATAGAAAAATTCCATGAACCCTCGAAAGAGAGAAGGAGCTTAAGCAAGACTTAAAGAGAAACATAACCATACAGGTCGAAGAAAGCCATGTTGACGAGAACCATTGGATGCTAATTTACGAGTACCGATGCTCGACAATCCTCCCCTTCGGAGACCTCTAGGATCCCTCAGCCTCTCCGTGATCTATATATAAATAATACAGTATAAACAGATTAATTAAAAATATACATCTTAATTCTTAACAGTATACTGTGGACTCACATTAAAGAGGAAAACGCAAAGAAAGAAGGAAAGAGAAACCTCTCGTTGTTGCCGATGAAGCTCATCGATCTCTCGCTGAAGCTCATCTGCTGTCTTCTCGACTGCAGTGCTCCCCATTTGGATTTTTACTTCGATAATCTGTAAGAAAAGACGACCAATGTTAACTCAAAACCCCTTGAAAGAGGTTTCTTCTTTCTTTTTTAATAAATAAAATATAATGAGTTTGATTTTTTTATTAGCCTACATAAAATGGTCGATACTTGGGCAGTTTACCATTCATGCTTCTATTAAGAAAAGGCCCGTTGAAATCCAAAACCCCCCCTTTTTCTCTTTTCCTACTAGAAAATTAACTTTTTTTCAAATCATATCACATCATATAATATACTAAGGTATATTGTAAAAATAGAAAGTTGAATTAACTTAAAATTTAAAGATAATAAGTAGGTTTCGCCAGATCCAATTTAGTCTTCTCAACAACTCCAGTATATATTTCTTATGACTTAGAAGCATCGACTCTCCACATTTCTGAGCTTCAATACCAAGGAAATAATGGAGTTCACCCAAATGCTTTATTGAAAGCTTTGCGCCTAAACAAGCTATCACTTCTTCTATTTCTTGTTTGATTGTCTAATGATAATAATATCATCAACTTAGACAAGTATATATATGTGAAAATAGGCTTGTTATTCCTTACAAAGGACACATATAAAGCCCATCTCAACTAGATATTCTGACCTTGTCATACCAATTTGAAAAACTTAGAACTACCAAATAATAAAACTTTCCTTGAACCATGTACAACAAATAGATGCGAATACATCTCAGTAAACATACAGAATATAGTTCATATTTCAAGCATACTAACACTTATAAAGTAAGCTTGACCTGCCTACGGTAAAGAATTGCAATATTTCCATAGGAGTAACAACCAACAGCTCAGGGACATCGGCGGCAAACGGTACATCGACGTGCGAGACGTCCGACGGGGGTAAAAGAAAATAACAAGAAGAAAAGAGAACTCAGAGGCTTACCAGATTACTTAACGGTGGACCACGGGTGCCTTTAAAAACCCCGAGAGGTTTTCTTTCGTTTCACCCAACCGGTGGACGAAGGGAGAGTACGGTTATCTGGGTTATACTCGCGATCAAATGTTGATGTAGATGGTAACCACCGATGATGCATAAGACGACGTGATGAAAAGGGCCGGATCTTCGCCGTGAAATGATCAAAGGAGAGAACAGAACGAAAAGCTAGAAAGGGAAGATGAAATGACGGTTCCACCTTTACATGTAAATGAACTGACGAACCGTTATATACGTTTATTTATTAAATGAAGGAATATGAACCAGATTTTGTGTTCGTTTAATTAAATGAACGAACATGAACATAGGTCTCGTTCGTTCATTTACGTTCGTGAACGTTCGGTTATGTTTGTTTATGTTCGTTCGGTTATGTTCGTTTATGTTCGTTCAATTATGTTCGTTTATATTCATTCATTTATGTTTAATCTAATCTTCTTAAATCAATTTTGGTGATCAATTTGTAAGTATCTTAAAAATATTAATTAATCCCATATTTTGATGACCAACTCTATAATTAACCCAATTTTATTTGGAGATTAAATCTAATATGTTAACCCGTGAGACACCTCGCACCTATATTCATTTTCCTCCTTTTTTCCCAAACCCTAGTGTTCACTGGATAGTGGAGACGATCGGTGAAAGCTTCAAAACAAGTTATATTATAGTGCAATATGAAGTTTTATAGGTCTGTTTTCATCTCTTTCTCTATTTTATTTGGCTTAATAGTTTATATGTAAAGTTATTGTTGTTATCTTCACATCTAAATCTCAAGAAAACATCATACTTCTTTCTAGAAATAGATAAGAAGATAAATGTAATAATCGGAAGTATATGAGCATCAGTAAAGAGAAAAATATATAGAATTTGTCAAAAAAACAAAATAAAGGTTTCTATTCAATTTCTGAAAAGGAGTGTAATAGCGGAAGTAATGAGTTTCCCAGGAAGAACCCATTTATAAGTAGAAAATACACTTTGACAATGAACTTTTGTTTTCATAGTTCTTGTGTGACCTTTAGTTGTGGAGTAGACTTTAGATAGGTTAAAATTTTGAATGATGGTTTAGCAATAATATCAGTTAGATATGTAGCATCGGAGGGATTTCGGATCTATGTTATTGTCTTGTAGTCCAATTTGTACCATTCGAAATCTTCATGTTGTTAAATTTTCTATTCTGCTAATGGAAAGGATCATTATTAACAAATCTCACTAAAGTCTGACATTGATGTCACAAAACTTTTAGCCATCGAATTTATTAGAATAACGTAGTGGAAAATGATTGTTCATATGTAATCATGGATCACTAAGATAAATATTATAATATTAAATTAAAGTCGTGTGGATCATTTAATATCTTTAAAAGATCGATCGAAATATATGATATCTTCAAACATTTCATCACTGCTAATTAGCTCTTACGCTATTTATCACTGTAGATTTGGTTGATTTGCATTGTCGACTATTTTTCATGAAAGAACAATGGAATGTAGGGTCTCCAACGTTTATGTTTGTGTTCGTTTATGTTCGTGTTCGTTTATGTTCATTTATTTATTAAATGAACGAACATAAACAAGTTATATTCCTTAATGAATGAACATGAACAAAAAAAATTGTTCGTTTATGTTCGTGTTCGTTTATGTTCGTTTATTTATTAAATGAATGAACATGAACATACATCCATTCATGTGCGTAAAGTTCGTTTACAGACCTAGTTCCTCCTCCTAAAACTCAAAAAGATAACTTATATACCATAGGAATTGTGTAAATTTCGAGGCGTGACCTTGTAAGACACTAGGGTTTATATATTAAGCATCCATTTCTAACCCGAATTCACTTTACTCTCCCCCCTTTTCTAATTTGGCCATTAGGGTTTATCATTTTATATAACTCTATAATTAAATTTAAATTTAAATATTTTATTATTAAATATGAATTTAAGACGAATTAAATTCGTGGAAAAATATTTAAAAATTCAACCAATAAGAATTGAATCTAATATATTAAATAAATTATTTAATTTTTTTAAATAAATCTAAAAGGTTTTAGAGACTTTTGAGAATAGTGTTGATTTTGCTTTGTCATAATAGCTAAATTTCTCATGCCATCAAATGTTAATAACTAAAAATTGATGTCTTTCGATAAGCAGCCTTCTTTTTATTGTAGTTTATTCAAAACCCATCTTCATAACAATATGTTTAAAAATAAAAAGGAACAAAATAATACAATAAGGGGTGTTTGATTCAAGTAATATGAGATTACAGAGGAAATGTAATGTCATTCCCCCGTTTGGTTGGCCAGTAATCATATTCTCTGATAATCTTTTATTACCAACAGTGATATTTTGGGGGTATATTAACAGGAATGTGATTATCCCATTCCCTTAGGTATTATTGGATTACCGGCGTTTTGGACTAAAATGCCCTTAATATTTTTTCTTTCAAAAATATCATTCTTCTGTCGTTGAATAATAAAAATTCTACGAAGGTTAAATTACAAATTTATCCTTAAACTATTTTATATTTACAAAAAAAATCTATAATTAGAATTTTATATAATTAGAATTTTATATGAAGTTCAGGGGTTAAAATAAAATTTTACCCTTTCATTAAACCTATTTATCTTTTCAATTTTGTAAAAAAAAAGTATATAAATTTTATGAATTTATTTTTTTAAAGAAAATATATAAATTAATTATAGTAATATTATAGTAAAATTCAACTTGTTAAAAAATAAATATATAATAATGACAATTTGGTAAAATATATATTCCAATAATCTTTTATTCCTTTAATCAAACACTATAATATTACATTCATGCTAAATGAACTAAACACAAAATACAACATTCCCAATAATCTTATTCCCGCCGATAATCTTTTTCACACTGATAATCTTACATTCCGTGAACCAAACGCACCCTAAGGGTAGGGATAAATTAACGGTAGGGAAATAAATTGCTCCAAAGGCCAAATGATTGTTGAAAATATGCATGGAAAGATTAATAATCTGCTTAAAAATCACACAGAAATATTAATATAGTCAATACAATCATAATAAATACAACATCAAGCTATTTACATATTTTTTTGAAAAAAGATATCATCCTATACAGAGAGTATATGAATTCAACTCTAAAACCTATTGTATTGTAGTGTGTATACAGTGAAAGAGTAAAAATATTACCAAAATAAATGAGATATTAAGCCATTAAAATATCAAAGATGAAGAAATCGAGATCCTTTAGAAGCATTGATGATTAAATTTAATGGTTGATATCTGCATCTATTTTTGTTGAGCAATTAGACCACATACATACATTATGAACAATTAGTGAACATCAATCATTCACACTACAAAAATATAAAGCAACTAAATTTTATAAAAACATATCGCTCTTATGCCCATCCATTACCGAGGCCTAAAATGAATTAACTAAGTTTGAATATTGTTTAGTTCAACTCGAATCGAAAAGTTTAAAGTTGAGCTTGACTCAACTCAAAAGCTCGTGGGCTTAAAATTGTCAAGTTCAACTTGGACACAAAATAAAAATTTTGAAGCTCGACTTGAGCTTGAAAAAAAATAAACTCGAAATATTCTTAGACTTGGCTCGATTAATGCTCGAACCTAAACCCTAAGTACATAAAAACCTTATATTGCATATTTTATAAAAAAATATACAAATGTTATTATTATTATTAATTTAATTTTAAAAAATTATATATTATTTTTTGACTTACTCGCGAGCTTTTTGAATCGGGTATTAAGTGGCTCGTTTTGGTTCGTTAAGAACACAAGTTGAGTTCTAACTCGAATTGAATTCATTTAAATGAGTGTTGACCGAGTTGAACTCGAGTAACTCATGATCTCTCTCATTTTATTTACACTCTTAAGTCTAATATAAAATATTATTTGATAAGAAACCCCGTAAATTGACCTAATTTTCTCTCTAAAGTAATTTTTAATTTTTCTTTCAAAGTGTCATATTTCTCGTCATCTCTCTTTTTCTTATTTTCTTTTTCTATATGTTTAATTTTTTTAATTTATATCTGAATAAATATTCTTCCGTTTTGATTTCTTTCTTTTCATATATTGTTTTAACATTATTT